TCTCCTGATTCCTCTCATCCTCGTATCCCTCGCTTCCCACCACCTACCCCTACCACTGCTACCCAACTGACGCCTACTCGTCCAACTACTGACGAGCCTTCTATTGACTATTCTCCTACCATCGCCGAGGACGGCACTGTCGAGTCTCGCTCAGGTGGTTGTCCGATAGCCTTCTACTCCCGTCAGCTCCTGCCCGCCGAGATAAACTACACTGCTGATGAACGTGAGGTTCTCGCAGTAGTTTATGCCGCTCGGCACTGGCGTCACTACCTGCACGGGGCACCATTCACGGTGTGCACAGACAACTCTGTTATCCAGGCTTTTCTGACAAAGCAGAAGCTCACTCCTCGACAGGCTCGCTGGTGGCGCGACCTATCCGAGTTTAGTTTCACCACTGAGCACATCAAGGGTGAGACTAATCGGGTCGCCGATGCCCTATCCCGGCGCCCTGACCACGACCAGGAGCACATCCAGCTCTATTCCATCTCGGTCAGCACGGTCCACCACTCGGTGATCGACGAGTTTCGCACTCAGTACCGCCACTGCCCCGACTATCGCGCCATCCACGCGACCCTTCGGAGTGGCAAGACCGTCCCGAACTACTCTCTCGGGGACAACGGTCTTGTGTRCTGGCACKGTTCACAGGGCACCAGAGAGCCCCGTATTTGTGTTCCCTCCAMTGGACARCTACGTGTCCGAGCAGTAGCAGAGTTCCATGACCAGGCAGCTGCCGGTCATATGGGCTTCCACAAGACGTTGGCTCGTGTGAGCCGCTTGTACGTCTGGCCGAAGCGCAAGGACTTTATGAAGGACTACGTCGCAGAGTGTCCCACCTGTAAGGAGGTGAACAATTCGAACCACCTACCTTATGGTTTGCTCCAGCCTCTTCCTATCCCTGAGGGTCATTGACAGTCCATCTCGATGGACTTTATCGGTCCTCTTCGATCTCCGACCCCCCGCRGTCATGATGCTATCCTGGTCGTCGTCGACCGCTTCACGAAGCATGCACGCTTTGTTCCGTGTCGCTATGCCATCAGTGCACGTGAGGTCGCCGACATAGTATTTGATCGAGTCGTGCGTGACCACGGCTTACCTCTGAGCATCATATCTGACCGTGACCCACGCTTTACCAGCCGATTCTGGCGACGGCTCCACGAGGTGTACGGCACTCAGCTCCGCTTCTCCTCGTCTTACCATCCTTAGACTGATGGTCAGACCGAGAGCACGAACAGGACTCTCGGGGATATTCTCCGAAAGATTGTTCGGGACGACCAGCAGTGGGATCTTCATCTTGCCCACGCGGAGATAGCCTACAACCACGCTGTCTCGCCAGCCACGGGGATGTCGCCTTACTATTGCGACCTCGGCTATCACCCTCGTGTTCCCGCGGACTTCCTTCGACCGTCCCAGATGCACCCCGACACGAGTTGTCCCGCGCTGGATGATTGGGTTGCACACATGACGTCAATTATGAAGACCGCACATGAGCACATAGCCGCTTCCCAGACTCGCATGGCAGCACGGGCTAACCGATCGAGGATGGATCACCCATTCAAGGTCGGTGATGACGTGCTTATCGACGCCCGCCACTTACAGCTCGAAGCGGACACGCTTCGCAAGTTTCGGCGTCGCTTCTTTGGCCGATGCCGCATCCTCCAGGCCGTTGGTTCTGATACGACATCTAGCCCGATCAGCTTTCGTGTGAAGATGCCTGACTACCTACGCCAGGCTCGTGTGCATGATGTGTACCACGTCTCGTTACTGCGTCCTTACCGCAGACCGTCTGAGGGTTTCGCTGGACGACCATACGAGCGCCCTCCACCCATCATGGTGCACGGCCACGAGGAGTTCCTCGTTTCAGACTTCATTGGTCGCCGAGTCACCGACAACAACCCTCCCCACGTCGAGTATCTCGTACGTTGGAAGGGTTACCCTGATGAGGAGGCTACCTGGGAGCCCCTCGAGCACTTGCAGCACGCTCGCATGTTGGTGCGTGCCTATGACCGTGCTCGTCGTGCTGGGTTCACTGCTCCTCCTCAGCTCACTGACCCTCCTCCTTCTCCTCCGGCTGAGGAGACC